TCCCCCACTGATATGACCTGTAAATGATGGCTCCTGTTATCTTCTGAATGTACAATCTGCCTTGCACATTGGCTGTTGTAGTGTAGCTCTGAATCTGTACCTTAGCAGTAGCTAAGAAAACATAGCAATTACCTTCAATATAGTAATTTTCTACTTTATTTTTATTTATTTTATTTTTTTTTGTGGTACCAGGAATTGAACTCAGGCCCCTGTGCTTGCCAGGTAAGTGCTTATTCTAGTGAGCTATCTCCTCGGCCCCCAGTAATTTTCTACTTAAGAGAGGAAAAGGACTCGACCAACTTCACAGCTGATGAATGCGAGGTGCTCAGCACTGGGCTAGGTGCTATGTGAGACAGAAAAGAATCACAGGACAGTGCTACCAGAGCTTGGCTTGTCGCAGCAGCAAGATACACAGAAGAAGAGTGCGTAATGAAGAACTAAACTGAATATAAGCAAGCATCAACAGCAATGGTATCTGGCAGAGAGCAAAGTGTTGCTTAGTGCTCCCATCAATGTGTCAGACTCAGAATCCTTTAAGTGGGGAAGCATCCCACTCAAGCTTCTCAGACTTTCAGGGTACCTCTCCCTGAACTCAGCCACATGTCTACGATACTCCGGATCCCACTTGAATCTACTGAGAGTAAATCTTAACTGGGAAGGGAAAGGTTTCACCTGAGATTTTCAGAGCCATGGTTATTTATGAAGTCAAGGAGAAAGGCCAAGGTCTATGAGGTCAGCATCTAGCTTTTCCCACAGGGGCAGCGTCCTTCACTGCAAGGAGTTCCTCCCTTCAGTATGCAGCAATTTCTTGGAGTGATTCTGAACTGAATTCCATTTTAACTTTGAAAAGTTCCATTCTGAACTTTCAATTCCATTTTAACATTTCAAATCTACTCCAACACGAAGAAACATTTCTGAACGGTCTTCCTGAATCAATAAACCAATGAAAGGTTAAGATTGAGAATTACAGGTCCAGGTGAAACCTGGTTTCTTCAGGGTGACCCTGGGTACGTTACTAGCTCTGGCTCTAATGAAATGGGCCTACAAGCGAATCCCAGGCTTCTGAAGAGAACTCAATGACACCATCACCTTCCACACCCAGGACCTGGGTCTGTGGGACTTCACAAGGCCTCTCCTCCACCTCTTTTCCTTAGTAAGACCCAAGTTATATTCTCTAACCAGGTTTATTTTATTTTTCGGAAGAACAAAATGTAAAGGAAGAGATGGAGGGTGAAATGGGAATGTGAAGAAAAAAATCTTTTGAAAAGTGACGTCAAAGCTACTTGCCCATGGGTTCAAGATGCTGGACTTGAGAGGGGCTGCTCCTTCCCACCAGGGCTCCCCTCACAGTGAAGGCCTGCATGAGCAGAGCTCCTTCCCACTTCCGCCACGACTGGCTGCTCAAGGGGGACAGCCCTTAATAGCCAAGATGGGCTCACTAATGTGAGCCATTACTAAAATACACTTAGAAGAGGAAAGAAATCAAAAAAGTTTTTGAGACAAAACTGTACAAAATCTGAGGGCAATATGACTATGACAGTTAAATCTACTCACATCTAGATTCAAGTAAAGAAATACTTTGGAAGGCAGTCATTGGCCATCTTATACACAGGAAATATTTTGGATGACAGCTTGTACTATATGTAGGATAATACTCTTGGTGAAGGAAATACAAATCTAACTTTTACTTTTTATACACAGCCTTAGTAAAAAATTCATTTCAGTGACAACTCAGGAGTTAGAAGAAACTTTAATGTCTTATGATATCACAGTAACAGAAAATGTTTTAAAAGACTGAATACAAACTACTGGACATTGATCAGACTGGACATTAATCAAATGTTTCATGTATCAATTTATTGCATATGTCAGTACAGAAAATAGTATAGTTTAAAATAAATTTATAGAAAAAAACCAGATGTAAATGTTTGCCTGCCACAGTTAGCACACAATGTATGCTGACATTCAGCTCTGAGATATAAAATGTTCTTACTATTTCAAATAAATATGGCAACTAACAAGTTTACATCATGACGCTGGATCAACCTACTGTATCCTGAATGTATCTGAGTATGCTGAAAAAACTTGAAGTTTCAGTATATGGTGTACCGACAGAAATTGTACTATAAATTATGTTCAACACACACCCATTATATATGTATATATGACACTTTTTTGTTTAAAAAAAAGTGTTGCTTATACAGTCCTATTTTTAAACTATCTTTAAGATATAAAATATAAATGGAGGTATATTTGTGCCACCTGGCAAAAATGTATCCACTAGAATTAGGACGAGTATTGATTTAGCCACATAAATGTGTTATTTCTCTCGCTAAGGTGAAGTGGCACAGGTAGAAGAATAAACAGAAGTACTTTCCATTTGCTACTCTTTCAGTTTAAAAAATAGATGTCTGTGCTCTGTCATCTCCAACTTTACCTGAGTAATATGAAAATACACAAATTTAAGTGAATAATCCAAAAGTTATTTATAACTAATTTTTCCTTTCACAGTTGTCTTTTCATAATTATCAAACACAACAGGAAGAGATAATGGAAGATGAACGAAGGCAGCATCTCAAGCATGACCCAAATGAAACAGCCACTCCTGTGACACCCTGCGCTTGCTCCCAACCTCAGGGAGGAGTCACAAACGCACCTATCACGAGGCTGGCTTGCAAGATCATTTACATGAACTCGATTGCAGAGGGCTTTCATTCTTAATTCCATCAAACTCTCATCCAAGCCAAATATTTAAAATGAGGAGCAAATAAGCATCACACAGGAAGGAATTCTCAAAAATAAGCACTGCACTCTTACTCCTGAGACTCATTAACAGAGCTGAGCTGTGCAACTACAGCTCATCGTATACTGAAGTTTCTCGGTGACAAAACTCAGAACAATACTCGACAAAATGATTCGTTTCAGTCGTGACCTCTCTGCAAAACTGCGAGAGGCCCAGTCTCTTCTTTTGCTAGAAAGGCTTTGCATTTAGAAGCTGCTCAGAATTTTTTTCACCCACTTCATTGTTAATTACTCCTCTAAGAACTGTCATATTTCTTATCTGGTTGGCTCTATGCTATTTAGTATTGTTTTACTGGTCACAAATTATTTTCTTCCTTAGTTGGTAGTATTCTTTTTAGCTCCTTTAAAAAAGAAATCAGTCAAGTCCTGTAATTGTCTTTAAAATAATGGAGTTTTGCAGTTTTTTCTCAATGAGTTTATCTTGTAATATTTAAGATTTTAGTATTTCTAAATTTATAGTAACTTGACTCACAATCCACTTAGGAACCTCTCTAGCTGCTCTTGAATAAATGGGCCGCAAGTTAGCAATCGAGACGGAACATACTTCCCTTGCACTAGAGGTGGCCTAGAGTGAAGGTGTAACTCAGTGATGTTTTACCAAGACCAAACACTCTGGCCCCAAGATTAGAAATGTGTTCAAACATTACGCCATGGGCTTCACAGCCCTGGAAGGCAAGACCTTGTTTTCACCCCTCCCTGTCTCAGGAGCCTCTCAAACACAAAGGGCAGTAAAGCAGACATCCTGTGACCCGAAACAGCGTCTCTGTCCTTTGCTCCAGAAAGCAAGCATCTTCAAGACGAGAACGAAGGTAGAGGATGGTGCACACAGCGCTCTGGAACTTCTCAAGTTCTCGCTTAAAAGGGAGCGTGGGGGAGAGGATCATAAATCTCAAGTATCAAAAAAAGAGTCACGAAAAGCAGCATAACACTGATGAAGAGTAAGATGCTACACTTCATCAGCATGTGTGCAACTAAAGCTGATATTCTTTCATAGTGCCGGAGACTAAGGGAGTTCATGAAAACCTAACAGTGCCTTGTAAACTTTAAAGATGGTATAAGCAGAAGGCATGCCCCGAAAGCGCATGTGTAAATATACACTTCATTGTATTTCTTTTTAATACATTACTATTCACCGGTCATACTACATAGCAATGATTGACAAGACAACAGTAGCCTTTAATTGTTGTGAATTTATACATAAAAATACACCTTCCATGATATGCATTACCAATTCTTTTTAAAAAGACTTTTTACAGTTAATAATTTATAGAAAACCATTATTCTTTAGAAATCATACTGCCTATAATTTATTTTCTAAGTACTGGCATAAAGTGAATAATAAAGATGTTATTTGGCAAAAATATTTTTAGCCCTATCTCCACAGAAACAGTTTTAAATTAAGGTCAAAATAGACTTATTTCTCTGCTCTAGCTGCTTGCAGAAAGCCAATAAATATAGCTAAACTACTCAAAATATCGCATGTTAGAGTTATTATAATGCACAGACCTCAGTCATGTCTAGGTTTTGAGGACTGCTGGAAAGGATTTGGCACAGATCTGCCTCGTAGCTCATGTTCCACTAAGGTAACTCTTGCAAGGCTTAAGGGCCTTCCTTTTGTAAGGATTTTCATACTTTTCTATGAATCTCAACACTACTTCCTACCTACAGCCACCTGACTATTAAATGTGGTCATAGATTGTGTCAAAATGCTCTAGACTTCCTTCAATCCCATACAAAACATTTGAAAATAAAAATATAAGACTTCCTACAGATGTCTTCTGATGCAGTTTTGTTTCACAGCAAATGGGACATAAAGCTAAGCACATTGCTTGTCTTGGTTTTGTAACTTTTATTTTTCTTCACAAAGCCCAATAAATGTTATCTTGGCCTCCGGTGGATTAGGAATAGCCTGTGTACTGGAACTTAGAAGTCAAATGTGAGAATTACTAAAACAGTATGCGCAACCCAAACTAAGCCTTCCTAACTTAAGTCTCAAGCAAGTTCTAATTTTCACTATAACCACTACCAGTGGTTCAGCTGTAGACTTACAAAATTGACAGAAGCTAAAATTCTTTGTTGTCAGAATACAAATATTAAAAAGTTCAAATGTGCACACAGAGCTGCAGTAAAATTCCAAGTTTCTGTTTCTACCTGGTGTGATCCAGACTGTATCTCACAAAAACATGGTGCATTTACACTGCAAAACAGGGCCATTTATTTGTGAGAGAAAGCTGGACCTCAGCATTTACTAGAGCAAAGCTCAGTGGCAACCTGCACACAGGCCTCATTTCACTTCCTGCCAAAACCAGGAGTTTACATAAAAACAGATATAACCCAGGTACCCCATACATCGGTCTATGACCAGTGCTATTTACATTAAAAAGGGTGCATTGCATAAGTCAAGGAATAAAATACCATCATGCATTTCACTTTAACTTTTAATGTGAAAAATACAGTTACAGAAGTATGTTTGCTTACCATGATTGTCCCAATATTCACTAAGGGAATTACACCCAAGGTTTCTTGTTTCCATATCTGCTCCTATACCCAGCTGGTAACCTGAGTGTAACAGATTACACCACTGAAGCAACAAGAAATTTTGGAGTAATCCCTATTATACTGACATATTAAACTAAAATTATGGATACATAACCACATTCAAAGTTTTGATGAAAATGTATGAAATAACCCCTAGAATTACAGTTCTTGAAAGGTAGAAAATGATGTGGGTCTTCATAAAGGAATGCTGAGGTCCTTTCAAAGTTTAATGTCACTTTTGGACAAATAAGACGTAACGCACTAGAAAGGAACATTCTTTATCATTCTGTACAAATTAAAGTACAATGCATTAGTCAAAAGGGTGCTATCAGATAATTGTTACATTGGATGACGTCTTAGTCATTTCTTCAGGAGAATGACTCTTGATGACTTCTTTGATGAACTGTTCAAGCGCAGTGAAGTAGCCTTGGCACTGCCATGTGTCATTATGAGTTCCATCTGGAAAAATGGCTAATCTCTTAGTCCGAGATGGGGAGAGCTCATAGAGTTGCTTCATCATTACTGGTGGGATTAACTGGTCGGAGAGGCCAGAGATGAAAAGAGAAGGCATTCTGCACTGAGAAATTTTTCTATAGGACAAAAATTTATTCTTGTAGCACCATAATGGAAGGTATCGCATGGGGAAGAAGGAAAATAAAGTGCTGGCCATATGTGGTATGCTTAAAAATGTGTTCTCAACCATGATGGCTGAAATCCTATGTGAATTTTCAGAAGCCAAATGAATAGCCACTGCTCCTCCCAAGGAGCGGCCAAAAAGAAAAATTTTCGTTTTATCAATGTCAGGTCTAGTCATCACATAGTCCAGCACAGCTTCAGAATCTAAATGGAGTCCTTCTTCGCTCGCTTCTCCTTCACTTTTTCCATATCCTCGGTAATCAACCAGCAAAAGATTAACTTTGAGGTTAACCAACATAAGCAATGCATTTGGTAACCTGTGACCTATGTTACCTGCATTCCCATGAAAATAAATTATAGTTGGGGAATAGGGTGAATTGTCTCCAGTGTACCTTATCAAAATCAGATTTAGACGTACTCCATCTTTGGTTCTGATGAAAATGTTTTCATGTGGAATGCCAGTGGGCATGGGAACGTAAAGGCGTGAGGAGGATGGCTGTTCTGGAAAATAAAGCAAAACATCCTGAAATTTATAGAGAATACCTGCGATTGATATGAATATCAACAAAAGCAAAATAATGCCACCGTAAAGATGGAAAGTTACTATTAATGGTAAAAGAGAAATACGACAGAGAGCCCAAGACCACGAAGCCAAGGCTATGAGCCATCTTTCGATGAAGTTCCACAGCATCCAGGTCTTTTCCATGATAGCTCTCCGTAGGTGTCCTACAGAAACAGAGAGAAGACCAAAAATTATATGCTTGGTGTTGTTAAAGGTATGCAATGAAATACACTCAGGTCCCTTGGACGCCCACATCACTCTACCAATGAAACACTGCTTAATTTCCTCTCCCTTCTATTCTCAGCAGCCCTTCATCTGCTGCACCCCTCCAAAGCCATGTGCATGACATATAAAGATATCCTCAATGCATTCATTATTTCCTGCCAAGCACCTTCATTCAGGCATTCCCAATGAGGCAATACGAAAACATGCAGATGGCCCTCCAATTGTGCTCTCCAAATAGCCCACGTGGGTTGGCCATCATCCCAGGAAGTGGAGTCAAGATGCGGAGACAAGATGGCAAAGCTCATGGTCCTTCCACTGCTGAGCCATGTTAATATGCTCTAATCTAGTCAGACCAACTGAACAGAATACATTTTCAATTTTCTTTTCCATTTCATTGAAAAATCATGAATAAAATGGACAAAATAAAAATACCTCCCTGTAGCTGAAGTTTTCATAACATTAAGTAATTTGTTTAATCAAGAGTCCAAAATTACATTATCTTCAAGAAAAGTGAAATGCATTGTTTTTCACATCCAACTTAGAGTACATTTCAGACTGCTAGCCTCCCGAGCTGTTCAGTGTATGTCACACAATCCTTGCTCAAGTTTACACCATGGGGTCAGCACAGATTGTAGTGATACAGTGGTAAGCAGTACTTAGGGATAGCTGTGTCTAGACCAGTAAGATGTAAAGTCAGCTGTACTTGGGGAGGCGTGTGTCAGACTGCTGTGATGTAATAAGACACTTGGGGGAGCAGTGAGATTGCACAGAATCTGGAGACACACAAAGTGAAATGGACTACTGCATGTTTCAATAAAGACTACAACATAAAACTGACATAAAGAAAATAAAAATTATCAGACAATTTTCTTTTTATCATAAAGTTTACGTTTGTTGTCATAAAACATCAAAAGTACTTCAAACCGTGTACAAGTTTTCTTATGACTATTCATCCAGGTATATTTATTTATAAAACCCTTTATACTAAATTCCCTTTAAGCACTAACAAAACTTCCATAAGGAAGTTATTCTAATGTTAACAGAAAACTGATGACAATGATTTAATAAGTTGTACTTATTGCTATATAGACTTTCATATTTGAATTCTTTTTGAAATGAAACTTCTCAACAGAAACCACCTCCACAGCACTTTATCTGGCTGCTGAGAAATCAACACTGCCACCCAGGGGCAGCAGGGGTAGCCGCAGGAGCACTATCTGCATGATAGACAGAGGCAAGCATAGAGTTCAAAGTAAAAGCCCAGGCTTAAGAAGAAAACTAAACCTGGTGAAAACTAGACTAAAGGCATTACAATGAAGGGGGCTAAACACTAACCCTAGTGTGCTGAGCTACTGCTTTATAATCTGTAGTGGCCACCTGTCAACAACTTGAAGCTTACATGCCTTTGTGTAGGAGAAGCCTCAAGGTTTCTGGTTACCTAGACTCCCCACCTAATGCTTTTGTTTTGTTGTTGTTTAAATCGTAAGCAGAATCTGAATGACTGTGGTTTGTCTGAAAGTTGTATTAGAAAAATGTGAGAAGTGGCATTAACTTCATGTACCAAAATGCAATCATCAATTTCAGTGTGCTGATTAGGATAAGTTTTGAGATCATTCATTCCTGCACACGCGCGCACACACACACACACACACACACACCTCAAAGCAGTTCTGCAACATCTGGAACGTTACTGTTTTAAGATATTTCTTTATTGAAAATATCAAAGTCATCCTTTTCTTATAGCTAAGCCAATCATTTATGACAAGTAATGACAAGTATTAAAGATGAATAATGCAAATGTCATTTACTTGGTGATACAGTAGGAAAAGCACATTAACATTCCACCATCCTAAGCCTTTGCTGAATAACTCAGTATTTTTCACCTTCTTCCAGTCTCTTGAACAGTGTAACAAGTGCTCTTTTATCTGCATAATCAGAGATAAGGCAACAGTTTTCAAATCAAAGCTCTTGTTTGAAAAGCTACTACAGCTAGCATACAGGGATAAAACATACTTTGAAATTCAAAATCTATATTTACAATTGCAAAGATCCTCTGTAATTTCCTATTTCATTGTATGATATTTAAGTATGTTAGGCCAGGAGTTGGATTCTTCTCTTTACTCCACCATCACTAAGGGCAGCAGGTACTCAGGACTGAAATGCTTCACAACCAACAATACAGTACGGGACCTGAATCATCAGATGCCTAAGAAAACACCTAGTAGTGGGCATATATGCTAAGACGGAAGGCAGAAAAGCTGGTGTCTATGGGGGTCTATTGTTGGTTAAAGAGTTTTCTACAAAACATCCCTGCACAGTCATTTTAAAGGACTTTGTGATAAACAAACTCTCACGATGTGCTGTTCGTCAAGGAAGCAGGAATAACAGACAAGTCTTTCTTAATAGTGCTAAGTTTAAGATGGAGTTAGCTAAAGCTGGCCTGGGTGCATGTGCCTGAGGCCTTCTCTTTAGGGTCCTCTCCTATGCTAGTGGGTTAGCTGAGAGCTCCACTCAGAGGTGCCTTATTTTCACTGTGAAGCATGTGTCAACTTATTCTCCCTCTTCAAGGTGGTACATCCGCCTCAAAGGTGCTCTGAGGAGACCTGAGAGAGCAAACTCAGTATCCACCAGCATCTCTCAATGCACTAACTGCAAAGCACAATTACTTGGTGCACTCTGCTGAGAAGCACTAACACCTGCATGTAAACCCAGATGTCCTAAGTCAACAAGCATCAACGCGGGTTCTAGTAACTTGGCTGCAGCTCCTATGCCAGCATTCTGTAAATTTTCTCTCTACTGTCGTCAGGGTGAACAAAACCTTCATCTTTTCCCATAATAAAAATGACCTCCAGGTCATAATCTCCTAGCACTGTTTCTCTGGAAACCTGGTACAGTGTGACATTAGCTGTGTTTCTAAGCAATACTGTTGGTGGAGAAATGAAAAGAAAGAGTCATTTCTGGACCATAGGGACAGTGAGGGCTATGCACAGAGGGCAAGAGCAGCTCACACCCTGCTTTGTTGAACAGGACACGATGATCTGTCTGCAGTCCTGGATGCGAAGCCCATGTGCTGTGACCAGATACACTGCGTGCAGAGAAGCACTCCTGCGATGTGCCATCTTTGCATTAGACCTGCCCTGGCACCTGGGAGAAGCTGACATGCCAGGCTTCCATCCTTGTCTTTCAGTAGAGCAGCAGGGGGCAGCGCTCAGCAGGACACTGGGCTCCTGTGAGTTATGTTCAGGTGTGGTCTTGCTGGAGGAAGGTGGTCATCTGTTTCCTTAAAGTGTGTCCTATGTGGCAAAACAGTGATGCGACATGCCACAGGAGAGAAGGGGTAGCGGTGCTTCAGTACATTGACCTGCATTTGCTACTAACATCTCAGTATCTCCAACAAGAGAAACGGTAGTGTAACATACTGTGCACACATCAGATCCAAGCTCTATGAGGAGCACAGACATGAGAACCCGTCCCTCATTCTGCTCCTACTGTATTACCCACCAGCTAACTTAACTTGCCTACAATTTAAATGAGCCCTGACACGCCTGTGCATTGTATCACACAGGCACATAGTTAGTCTTACTTTATACTGTGTTGAGTACAGAGTGATCTTGAACTCACTGTGTAGTGCAGACTGGCCTCGAGGTTGCAGCCATCTTCCTGCCTTAGTCTCCCAAGGAGTGGGGTTACAGGTGTATACCATTGTCCCTGGCTTACACGTGTCCAATGGAAAACCCATTAATCTGTGGCTTCAATCACTCCTAGTTAACCCCTTAATCACTCCTGAGGTTGTGATGAGTGAGCTCTTACTATGGACCTCACATGAGAAGTACACTTCACTCCTGGGGTCTTCTCCCTCACACTGGGGCCCCCCACCATAGACTCCTCCTCAAGTGCCCAATACACTCAAGCTCTCTTTTCTCTCTGCCCTGCCTCCTTGAGTAGGCACTTTCTAAGGTTGTGTCCACTGCTGTCAGGTTCTTCCATGTTAATCTGGATCTGGCACATTCCCCGTAGGCCTAAGAAGGCTTGGTCTCAAGCCTGTGACACAGCAAGAAGCTGAGGAACCCTGAGGAGGTAGAGCCCTGTAGAGGGAGCTGGGTCCCTGGAGGATGCTGGGAGGGGACAATGGGCCCAGACACCTCCTCTCACGCTGCTTGCCAGCCATAGAGAGGGGCAGTGTCCTCTGCCAGGTCTTCACTGCCATCACCTACTGTCTCACTACAGGCCCCAAGCTGCAGGCCATGCTTATGAACTGAACCCTCTCCACTGTGTGCTAAAATGAACCCTCTACTTGTTCCTTGTATCAGAGTGTGGGAAAGGTGACCACCAACATGCGTCACACTTCTCTGCAGATTTCAGTCTTGCTCATGCTCCACTTAGGCAGCTGTCTTCTCCTCTTCCTCTGCAATCCCAGCTTACCTGTCTTGAGTGTCTGACGCTTCCTTGACATCTCAAACTCATCCACAGCATACCTACTGCCCCCTCCCTCAACGTGTTAGGGGTGGTGTCGTGGGAATTTCACAGTGCTCAATGCAGCACAGTCACCACTAATGTTTTTTCTGTCTTCAAATGTAAGTCCATTTTGGCTGTGCAATAACCAGTATGAAACCACACATGAGGATGATTTAAAATTGTTAGCATGTTGACCAGCAATGCCAGCTCAAGAAGCCAACCAAGCAAGTGGAGGCCAAGTTCTCCTGACTTCCATAAATCATCTCATATGTACGCTTATACTTGGTCTTTGAGAGAATACATGGCTCCATTTTTAAAGATTTCTTTTATAAACTGCTGCTAAAAAATTATAACTTAATAGTGAAGTGATGTTAGCCTTGAAGCTGAGCCCTCAGAATGCTCCTGCACACCCCCTGGGAGCTTCAAGGCCCAGCCTAGACCTCGGTGGGCTCTCAGAGTTGGTTTCCAAGCTTCTCCC